CTTCTGCAGAGTTAAACTTTTTGGCAGAGTGCCTTCCTGTCAGTTTTATACGGACTCTGCAGCACAAATTCCGATTTAGGGCTTTCAAAAAGAATCATCCACGCCTTCCATTATGTATTTTGTTAGGGGGGGTAAGGAATTACAGAAGATTGCTCTCAATACAACAAATGGCTTTCTTTGTCACTGAATGATGGGTGTAAGAAAACATATGCATCTCTGATGGTAATTTGACTTGTGTTTGAAATATTAGTACTTACTGTGCTGCTCCTTCCCTGAGAAGATTGTCATTGTTAAGCAATAACCGGACATCTGGAGAAGAGAGTGTTCAGGTAGGTTATTGGATTTTTTTGATCAAATGTTTCTCTTTATGCATTTCAATTTCAACTGTACAAACGCCAGCATTAAAATGATTAAATAATTTCATTAAGCATATGTAATCACAGAATGACAGCAGGCTTTTCCCTCACCACTTCTTAACCTTAAAAGCAGTATGTTGTGACACAGCCATAGACTCTTATAATAGATGAAATGTGAAGAAAACACCACCAATCATTTTTCCTTATTTACTTACCATTGAATACTTCATTGAATTCTCCAGGGGGTGCATGAGTGATGAATTTTGCAGCTATACGCACCTACAATGAAGCAGAAAAGTAATTAAACTGAAGACAAAAGATAATTTACTGAGTTCATACGTACTGCGATCTACACTGAAACAATTCTCCAACAAAAGCAACGCTGACAGTGATAGGAAGTACCAGATTTGGGGAGAAATCTAGGCATGCATTGTGAAAACGGAAATAGTCAGTCTTGTAAGACCAGATTTTTTCAGTGTAACCGAGCAGAAGAATTTGAAATGTACTCAGGAAGAAGTGCAAACTTCACATGGGCACCTGTAAAAATATGAACTGTTCAACCTGCACAGCACTAACCTATTTAAAGAATATGAATGCTGGCTAGCCACTCTTCTTGGTGACATTCTTAAACAATGTTTTTTCCTCGCTAGTAATCAGAAACCTAAATGCCAAGGTATATAAAGAATAAGAAACCACTGCAGTAGAAGTGACGCTGTAACTAGATGGTAACCTACAGCACAACCACATAGCTAAGGAGTGTCTGACATATATTGCAAGACACTGTGATTCCCTGTGATGTAACTTGCTGGTTGCTGATGACTGGCTGAAGGAGATGCCACTGCTTCAGAGCAAACAGCGTGTGAAGGATGAGAGGTTGATCCCTCTAGAAATGGAGCAGTAAATCAATTACATCAACTGCCATGGGACTGCTTCCAGAGTTAATTATGCCTCATGGACTTTGAAAAGCCACTGATGTGCGCAGTGCAGAAGGGGTATGGAGCTACAAAGTAAAAAGCTGGGAACTGACAGAAATGGGGGAGGTGATGGAAAGTGCTAAAATGAACCCAAGAAGTCAGACAGACCCTTGAAATGAAACCATCCACATTTCAGCAGGTGATTTCTTTTTTTTTCTTTTCCCCTTGATCCTCTAATGCTGCCCTGGTCACTTCTAACCCTGAGCAGTACGACACACCACCTGTGCCATTCTGTGGCATGTCACTCCCCTTATCATGAAGTAGTATTTTATTGGAAACTGTACTGTAGTCCAGACATGAAGTGTCACAGTAGTGGAAGAACTAAGGCATGTGGAACTGTGAGTGATACAATAAATAATGGAAAAGGCCAACTGTAAGGAAAATACCCAAATGTCTGCAGACTTTGAAGCTGGAAAAGAAAAACCCATTCTCTTCTAAAAAGTAATAAAACTGCACTGTGTTCTGAAATCCAATATACGTGTCTTTGACTGCTAGAATTTAGGTGGTCTAGGTATTGATTCTGTTGAAATTACTAAGTTTATAGTTTTCATAATCAAATCTCTTATGGTTTTTACAGGCCCAAAGGGAATAAAATCATCTTGGAAGACTTGAAACAGGAAATGTCACAAAATTAAACCTCTCCCTTAGAATAATAAAAATGTCACATTTCTTCCAATAAGCACAGCTAACAAAGCTGTGCAATAAGCCTTTCTTGCTCAACTAGACATTTATTGAAGATGACTGCAGAACAGTGCTCATTACAACTCTGATTATTTTTTCTACTTTTCATTTTGAGCAGTAAAACAAAGGACTGTATATATCCAGTACTTCAGCTGAATTATTGCCAGAGCTGGAGATAATTTGCTTCTCTCAACAGTCTTCCTTGTTTTAATTAGAAATTGTTGTTTGTATTGTTTGTTGCATAATGATTTAAAGCAAGCCATGAAAGGAAATAAACACCTTTCCCAACAAAGGGTATACTACCTTATTCCAACAGTATCAAGTAACAACTCTTGCCTTAACTGGATTGAGATTCAGATAAAAATAGATCATTTTCCAAATTAGCATCTATTTAAAAAAATATATATATACATTCTTTATGCCTTAAATAATTATGCAATAAAAATGAAAAACTAAAAAGTCTGTAGCTTGTGTAATTGATACAATACAGAATGTCAAACCATTTTCTCCTAATTTTCTGCTTTTTAGATAAGGTTGGTAAGTATACAGCAATCCTAAAAATGTAGCTCTGTCTGAAAATTTTCACTATTTAAAGAACTGTAATTAGGACACATTGCTGCCATAATCTTGTTAGATTTCACTATCAGAAACTTGGATGGTGATGAAGATAACCTAGCAGTAATTAAGAGGGACACTGCTGCTTTATATCCTCTGTGGACTTTGTTGAGAGCCAGCCCTAAATGGCTGAAAGAATTCTGAAATGACACCATGTGCCTTTCTAAGAAAGCGCAAGTGTAAGCACTAGTACAGGCATATCAGACTGTGCTAAAGCGCTTACAAATATGTACCACTTCATGCCATGATGCCTTTCAGTGGGAGGATTGCACTAGAAGACATCCTGCAGATGAAGTCCCCAGATGAACAGATTCCCTTCTATAAGGTGCTTCAACATATGGAAAAATAAGGCTCCTAAAAAGCCATAAAACTTAGTATCTTATAAATTTATACAACAATGTTGTGGCTGCAGAATTGTACTGTACATGGAACCCTCATAAAAGGGACCACTGTTTCAATAGGTTGACTTTTAGATCAATGGATTCTCATAAACAGATCCTTGTGAAAAAAACAAGTATTACAGGAGAGATTCTTACAGTCTTCCAAAAATTCTTCCACTTGGAAGGATGAACGAAGTTAAATCAACACCGAAAGGACTCTGCATTTCAATCAAATGTTATCACAAAACCAGCCACAAACAAAGCAAACACCGCAAGTGAAAAGTGTGCAGTTTTATGAAGTATCCCTAGCCCTGCCTCTCTTGTGGGGCAGAAAAATACACAGCATTTAAGTCAAACTATTGAAATCGGGAGTGGAGTGCAGCAAACAGGCTGTGGAGTAATTAATTCTAAATATCAAGCATTTGAATCACTGTTCATTTTTAGAGTTGACTTGTTTCAATGCAGTGTCAGCACAGTGGCAGGATGTTCATTTGCAGAAGCACGAAAATAAGACTTTCTGCAAACTGACCTACTTCCTGGCCATTATTGCCATTTCTGGTAGCTCGCAGCACACTAGCAAAACGAACTTCCTATTTCTAAAATGGGGAAAGTGTCTGAGAAGGAAGCTGCTCAACCATTAGTTTAAGCTGGCAAAATGGCAGCAGAATGAACTTAAGTGGACAATAGGGTATATTGCAGTAGACCTTAAACTGAAATGAATCCCTTAGCTTACCTAAAATATGCCTATAGAGAATAAAGAAGTGAGGCTTGGGGGGATGGAATAAATTAATTTTGTTGCTCTATTGATTTTTTTGTTTTTTGCTTTATTTTAAAGCACTGGTAAACTCAGACTTAAAAAAGGAAACATATAAAAGTTCTAGACCTATCTGAATGGTTATAAAATGGATACTATAGTAAATCTTTGATGCATGTTTCTTTTTCAGATCCTCGCTTAAGATTATCCTTTTCTGCCTGTGCTAGGTATGAAGCTACTTTAAATTGAATCGAGGCTGCCTGAGCCGGGACATGAAGTAGAACGTAGGCTCTGATTTCAAGCAAAATCCCATCTACTCTGCCAAAGTACTCGGGCACAGGTAGTTCTGAAGGGCCGCCTCCTGAAGGACAAGTCTTCCCGGCAAGTGCTTTGAAAGAATTGAAGATTTCAGATGAATGCAGTGGGAGGGGGAGAAAAATGCCTAGTGACCCCAGGTTCTTGCAACACTGACTCTCATTCCCAGACTAAATGGCTAGCCTAGGTGTAGCCTACAAAAAGGGACTCCACTTCTACCTCCAGCTCTGTTAAGGACTTGCTCGATTACCAAGGGCAATTTACTTCATCTCCTTCGCTCTCAAAGCTGTACCACCGTAACACCCAACATGATAAAGCTTTACTTTTGTTTTAGTTTTCACATCAAATGTAACAATGCCTTGGATTTTAGGAGTTCAAATGAAATTCAGCCAAATGACATAGAGTAAAATATTTTATACGGCATTGGGTAGATTTCAGTAATGTCCTAAAGACCATATGAATTCTGTTCTGGAATACTCATTTCAAGCAATGCTCACGTCATCTAAAATATTAACTAAAGCATGAATTGCACCTTTAAAGCTCTATCTGCTTGTTTCGCAATGAATGGCACTGGAATGAAGCTGAAATTGGCAGTTTAAGGGAAAAATGAAAGCAGGCTCCCAACTCTAGGATCCCTGAAGATCTATGAGCCTTAATGCCCCGCTTCAGAACGTTAAATAACAAAGCAAAAAGCTACGTGTAATATTTTTATGATGTAAGGAAGAGTAGCGGTGGATTTTTAAAGTACCGTTTGTAGGTAACTAGCGTCTATAGACTTGCAGAAAAGGCTACGTGTTACATGAAACTCAGTGCTGCTTGTAAGACTGTCATTTTTCCACATTCCTATGCAAGAGGAACAATCCGCTCATTTCTCCATTTCCTAAAATAAATATTGCTCTATTTGCTCCTGCTTAGTCCCTTCCACCCAGCATAATTTGCAAGATCTACATCAAAGTTACTCTCAGCAGCTGGGGCAAGCAGAAAACGTGAAAACACGCTCTGAGGGCGTTTTGGAACTGAACTTTGGTGCCTGGTTTCACAGCACCTTTTAAAGACGCTGCTAACTTCGCTGACCTGGGAAAAGAAAGCCCAAGAGCAGAAAGGATATTTTCATGCACAAAGACGCGCCGAGGCACCTCGGCTGCACCCAGGCAACAGGGAAATCGAAGTGCAAAGCGTTGCGCTGGTAAGTGACCGCTGTTCCCTGGCCGGCCGGCCGGCCTCTCACCCGGGCAGCGGCGGCCCGGCCGGTC